AATGATGTAATTTAGCAACAGAAAAGGCAGGAATTGCATTGGAACCGTCCCCCGACGACGCCGGCCAATAGGAGAAGACCTCAGATGACAACAGGAAGAGCAAGCCAAGAATTGACTTCTTCTATCCCCTGACCTGTACACGGTAGAGAACATAAATAAAGCTAAAAAGAGTGCAAAAAGTACGGGCTTGACTTCCATAAAATGGGCTTGACTTCCATAAAATGAGTCCTGGTGGAAGAGAATTGGTCAGAGGCGACAATGTCAACCCCCTGCTGATTTTCCACACTCCAAATATTGGCAGCCATTACATGCCTCCTCAGTGGTGTTTAGTGCCAATACCTGAAATACTGACTTTCATCATGACATTTGCTAGGCACACTCTAAACGCCCAGCGGCAGCCTAGTTTCTATGGAGATCATGTACATGCAGTTTTGTACAAAGAAAATAAACTCAGATTAAAACAGACAAAGTGAGTGGGGGGAAATAATATTAATTCATTATCTTTGTCACCATATTTGCTATTCCTTTGTTGACGAGCATATGAAATTGAATCAAATGCTTGGCTAATGTGAGTCACGTTCTGGCAAATTAGTATGCAGTCCTAATTTCAGAGTGTTCCAGCAAATGAGTGTCTGACTTTGTTAGAACATCAAAAGCCACAGGAAGCTTGATTGGAGCTTTTGATTTGGTCATTGTTCTGCTGACATGAAAATGCGGTACATTGCCACTTTGCGGGAATTGGCATTCCAGTCAGGATGGTAATTACTTCCGAAAAATTGTGGGTCTGATTGAGTGTTTACATTTATCTTCTCAAACTGTTGTAATTTTAGACTGATCAAATATGAATGTTGACAAGTTGATTCTAAAATAGTTATTCTATAGAGTTTGATGGATAATGAAAAATATTGTTTATACAATTGACCACCTAATAAATCACCCTTACAAAATCACACATTTTTATATGAAGATTCTAAATAGCAGTTCCACAATTTGTTACCATTTTGGATACTTTAGATCTAGATGGTACCTGGTTTTGCAGTTTTTTCTTTCATTTAATTTTGGAGATCCTCAGGATACTGTCAATATCAGTCATTTGCTATCTTTTCAGATAAGTTGTGCGAAAAATTACCCTCCTGGGGGTAAACCTTAGAAATATATTCAGTGACTTTTTACCAGACATTTGTTATCAGCTGTAACTGACCCTTGAGTTGCTTTAAACCAAAGGACAATTAACAATATGTGTTACACCTAATGGATTCCACTGTTAGTGAATAACTTTCTTCTTTAATTAATTGGACCCCAAGACCTCAGGGAGTTGATTAAAATACCTTTTACTTGTTATCCATTGTATTAATGTGTACATTTTGACTCAACAAAAATTCTAAAGTAGCAAATAAAATAGAATACCAAACACAGAGAAAGAAAGTAGACAAAAACAAACTGAAATGAAAATATCTTGCTCTGAAAGCTGACACATTCACAGCTTCCGACTGACAAACGTAACGGTAAGTTTGAATTGTTGAGTGTGTTATGAAGGCTAAATGCCAGGAATAAATACTATAATATAATGAAATATGTGGCAAAACCATAAGGACAGACAAAATAAATGTATATACCCAAAGCAAATTATTAAAAAAATTACAAAAATCTAGTAAGAGGCAAATAATTGACACCCATAAAGTATGAAACAATCTATAAATACTTAAAGCCGATATTGAGAAATACTCCTGTAGGCCATAAGTCATTGCTGCCTTTTCTTGTGTTTAATTGTAGCTGAATGAACAGCTCCCATAAAGTTCTGCTGTAATTGAAGGTTTTTTTCCTTCTCTGAGGCTGTTTGTCTCTTTATCTCTGTAGCCGTCTCGCCTCTCCCTTTCACTTTACATGACACTCGATCACTTATGTGACAATGTCCCGAGCAGTGGCGTAGCTGTGGGTGGGCCCATATGCACGTCTGGTCCACCCACAGCCAATCAGCGCGTCATAGTGCAGAGCTGGGAAGCCCAGAAGGAAGTGCCACAAACTGCAGTTCATCTAGTGGCCGATAGTTTATGCTTATGTTCAATTAGTGCATTCAAAAATTATTAAAGTCATTAATGAAGTGTCAGCTCAGACCCCACGCTTAATAAGTCTCCCCTTGGCCCACCTATATTTCTCCAGGCCCACCCACACAATAATTCCTGGCTACGCCACTGGTCCCGGGAGTTTAATTAAATAGTTTGACCAAAACTTTACATGTTAGGTGAACTTGCACACATACAGTGATGTTTTTAAGCTTTTTGAGTTGTACATGATGCAATGTTGTTGTCAACTTTTCTGGGTTTTCATTGCTCATGGTCTAAATGCTTTATTGACAGAATATCTTATTTGTTCAATTTTAGGATTAAAGAGCCTGTGACACGAGTTTCCCCCATCATCCAAACCCATCAATTTGAGTAAATATTGTCCCCTTGAAAACCGTTACTGAACTGATTTTGGATATTTGTACTTTGATAACCATTAATCTGCCCTTCAATGTTGACCATTTTCTGGATCTTCTCGGGGATTCTTCAAGTCCCGCCAAATTATGGGTGACGTCATTGCGGGCACAGCGCTCCAGCTGCACCGTTCAGGATCCCAGCATCTGCATGTAAACGCACGATGGCGCACACAGCAGCAAGCTCAGACAGCGATGACAGTTTAATTTTGAAAGTGTCTGAGAGCTCATATGAGGCTGAAAGATCGGTTTATGTTGTATCTGTTAGAAGTTTAGGAATTAGGTGCGTCAATATGGGCGATCATACGGTCATGTAGCCAGTGGTGGACTGGGACTAAAAATCATCCCGGGACTCTCGACCGGCCCACTTCGGTACATCTAGTAAATTGTCAACGGGGGGAGTGGGGGATGTGCTAGTGACTTATCCGACCGGCCCACTTCGGTACCGGCCCATCGGGATTCGTCCCTATGGCCAGTCCGCCACTGCACCCAGCCCAGCCAACGTAAACTGTCAACGGGGGGAGCCTCGCTGTGGGGAAACGGTGGACCTAGTGTCCCGATCGGAGTGGGAATAATAATAATAATAATAATAATAATCCGTGCATTTTATCCATTAATTTCCCCAACATTGTGGTAAAAAAAACACACGCAAACGTTTAATCCATGGTTGGTGTCGACTATAAACTACAAAAAGCATCGGTTTGGTTTTCCATCAGGAAATGCAGGACCGCTCAAACAAACGATTTTTTTTAAACATCATCTTCACGATCATTTAATGTATCATATGTTCGGCCCGAATTGACATGAAAGCACTAATTAAATGTAGTTTCATCCACTTGAGTTTACAAACTACAAAAATAATCGATTTGTTTTTATATCACCATCCGACGGGTGAGGAAATTCCAGCAGGCTCTCACTACCCGATTTGTAATCCTAATTTAATCATCATCTTCACCACGATCATTTATGTTTATGTTCGAATTGACATGAAAGCACTGAAAATATGAATATACTGTTTAGTCAACTTCATTAAACCTTTATTAACGGCCTTAAATCATAATTCACCATTTCTACGCATGACAACACACTTTGTCCGTGTTTGGCTTCTTCTCGTCACACAGTGAAGCGTTCCCGCATTGAGTCACTTTCCGGCTTCCCCAAAAACTTCCAAAAATGAGCGAAGGAATTTCCCCGCGATGTTCGAAATTATTGATATTATCGAAATGGTATTGCACCTTCTTTTTTAAACTGAGGTTCGAACATGGACTAGTAGCCCAATATTTCATTGCACAACAGTTGTTGGGAGGCTGTTCACAGGCTCTTTTAAGGCTTACTGTTACCCATGGGAAATATCTGTCAACATGTGTAACTATATGGATGTTTGCATGGCATGTGCTGCATTTGAACACACACTTTTGGGTTGAGTAGTATTTTTTTCGCTTTTAGGCTTTTACGTTGGGAACCAAGAACTGTTATTCTTTGTGTTGGATTATGGGA